GAGACCTCAACCTACAAGGTCTTCAGTAAGAAGTATAATGTTGACATTGAATATTTTCTAAAGAAGCAAGTTTCTTTTGGGAGCTGTCAAATTAGTACCAAGACAAAGCCTCTATATACCAAGCAATGTCCAACAATTCCTTAAAGGACAAGTATGATGGAGTAAATGTAATCAATGCTTGAGGAGCTTCTTTCTTCAATCTTTTTTCTTTAATAAGAGACCATACTTGCAAACATTATAATTTGTAAGTATAATAAAATATATTTTTTGTTGCATATTTTCCTATATTACTTAATTTTTTATTTCTTTTCTAGTGCAATCGAGTTGAGTGATCTTCTACATTATTGATCAAATAAATCTTTTATATAGACTTCAAATATTTGAATATGTGTGTATTTTCATGAATATGTGTAAAATTAACATGTTTAAGTAAAATAGACTCATTCTTTACTTAAAAGATGCTAGATAGTTCATCTCAAGTCTTACTCAACTATTTTTCTTTTATTTTTATGTATAAGCGATCTGCCTTCAACTTATAAAATAAAATAGTCTTGCATGCTACTCAATATAATTTTTTGTTACAAAAATGGATTCATATTCTAAAACAAGACATTTTAATAGATGCTATTATTATTATTATTATTATTATTATTATTATTATTATTATTATTATTATTATTATTATATATTCTTTATCAAAAAATTTCTATGACTTACATAAGATGTGATACATAAATGATAAAAAAAATTGGTAAGAATTCTTGCACTCATTTTTCATAGAAAAAAAAATTCATGTCATTTCCACATCATGATTTACATACTCATTGTCTATCAATCAAAGTATCAATAGACTTACCATACATGCAAACACTTTTGAACTCAAACTTGTAATATTACAAATGAAATAAAACCAATTTGAAGATTCACTTATTTAAGATCCTAACTTACACATAGCTAGCTTTTTTATTTATGTGCAATTTCTATGGAGGATGGTGCAATGGAAGCTATGCTGGGAAATATTATTATACCCACATCATCTCAAGTAGCCCTTGATGATCACATTGAGATGGATTCTGAGGATGATTCTTTTGTTGATCCAGCTAGCTTTTTGGAAGGTTATTTTGATGACCTTGATGAGGATAAATTGCTCGATGAAGAGCTCATTGGGCAAGAGATCCTTCTGGTGGGCTCTCTTCAATATGCATCCCATGGCCATTGCCAGAGGGACGATCCCTCTCATTGATTCCTCCCATGAGTCTAATTAGGTTGATCTCCCTGGCTCTTTGGGCCCTCAATAGGTTGTCGCCCTCAAGCTTGAAAGGGAAACAAGAGATGCTTTTTTAACATAACTTTAGAACCAATCTACCTTGATGATGGCCAACATGACCTTGATATATTCTCAAATCACGATTCTACAACACAAGTATGATGAACCATCAGTTGTCTCGCTCGCTATTCGATCTACGATGCACCCTGTTACGTTTGATGCCCTTCCCGTGCCTGATCAATAGTCATTTCGATGAGCAGTTCTCCACTGCTTCCTGTTGTTGTGCCTAAAAGCCAATTATAGTCACTCATTGATGAGAAGATTGAGACTACGTTGGCAACTCAACAAGACAATGCTACATCCGAAGAGGGAGACCATATCCTAAGGAATATGTGTCTATCCTCTATCCAAAGGGTTTCACTCCTCAACAGTACATACAATTTTGATTAGATGGGAATCCTAGGTAGCACATAGCCCAATTTCAGGTGCTCTATTGCAATATTGGCAACAATGCCACCCTACTCTTATGACTTTTCATCACCAATTTAATTGGTTTTGCCTTCAAATGACATGCTAAGCTTATGAAGTATTCTTATAAGATGTTTGTTGAGCTTGAGGACACCTTCATGAGGCACTTCACTGGCGCACACCATCAATTTAGCACGAGCGACCTAATGATAGAACAAAAAATGCCCAGTGAGTCTTTATTTCATTTCATTTCTTCGTGAACCTTCCTTCTTTTGTCACGACATTTAGAACCTTATACTTCTTTTGATTGTAGGAAATTCATTAATGTCGAGGCATCCACTCAGTGCAATGATATTTTATTATTTAAGAATTCAATTCATTGCTAAGATAGAGTTCTTCAATCCTAGGGAAGAGTAAACATTTTGATTTTTCAAAGGGGATGGTAGAAGTTTTGTTTTGAGACTAGGTCGGCATTAGTTCTTGATGTTTGAGAGTTCTTTTCCAATGCTAAAGAACATGAATATCCCAAATTTTTCATGATGGGAAAATCATCCATTTTTATCCTTCTTCTATTAATTTTGTCATTGGATTGACTGACATCCCTATGTACGAGTATTCTCATTTTCTCACTTTTGAGCGTGATTACAAGTAAATCATTAAATTTTTGATTGATTCTTCTTCCCAATAGAATGTTAGTGAGGGCAAAATTATCAACTTTCCAGCCTCAGTTATGAAAAACCAATCCAACGCCTAATATTATTTTATTTGCGCAATAATGCAAAGTACCATTATTAAAAAAGATGACCAAAGATAAATCCAACCTAAACTTTTGTATTCAAAAGGGAAAACTCTTTGATATTGGCAAACATCATTTGCTCTTCAATCGTTTATATAATTGAGGGGGGATCCACCATAATATTAGGCCACTCGTCCCTTATCTATGTCTAATGTTCTAAGACAAGTGCTTTTGGGGAAGTTTAGAAGAGTAGGTGTTCGTTAATCATCCTATGACTAAGGATACAACTGCATCATATAAGAGATCTAAATATGAGACCTATGAGAGATCCTTTCGTCTTTTCACTTCTAGAGCTAGACCTTATACTACTTTGTTGAAAGGTTGAGTGAGATGAGTACATTTGCATCAGACATGCAAAGGTGGCAAAAGGATGTGTCAAAAGTTTGACCACTACATGGACCAACATAAGTAACAGTTTGCTCGCCAAGATGATTTCAACTCAACTCTAGTAAACATGTATTAGCACTGACAACTGAGTGCAGATCCTAACGAGATTCAATCCCCCCCTCCCTCAACTCAACCCATGAAGGAAGAAGCGCGGAGAAGATGATGAGGGCAAGGAGGAGGATGATGATGAGTGATTTAAATATGTCATGCTAGCATCTTGTGATTATGCTTGCATTTTTCGGTGTGATTGAACTTTTCATGTAAATGCATTTCTTTCATCCATACGCTGTTCATATTTTTAATAGTGGATGTTATCTTTTTCAATTAGCAAATGTTCATTTTCAGCATTTTTTTTGTTTTTGTTTTAGCATGTCATTGTATCATGTTTGCTTGTATTACTTTTTATTCTTATTTTAGTACTTGCATTGTGATATATTGTGAAATAAGCTTGTAGAAGGTATAATTGTGTTTGTAGTATAAATGTGTTTGTACTATTATTTTAATAATAATAATAATAATAAGAGTGTGTGTAGTATATATTTGTTTGTACTTTTATTTTAATTTTAAATCTCTATGAAAATAATCCCCATAATATTGGGAATTATTATGAAAAATTGAAATTATTATGAGTTTTTTTTTAATTTATTATCATTATATAATCATATAATCAGAAAAAAAAAATTCAAAATAATTTCAAAATGTCATAAAAAAAACTATGCAAATATTCTTTGAAGTTACGAACAACCAAATTTCATATAATTTTCATCCAAATTTCAATTTTATTCCATTTTCTAAATTTTGTTATATTTTATATTTTAAAAATTAATTAAATTTTAAATTAAATCTAATAGTTTAAGAAAATCATCAAGGAATGGACTATTGATGCTTTCCTAAGAAAATTAGAAATTATTTAAATATTATTTAATTTTCTATGCTTTTATTTATTTATTTATTATTAAAAAATTATAAATTAACTATTTGATTAAATTTGTATTTTCATTATTCTCCTAATTTCTAGTTCAGTTAAAGTGATTATTAATTAAAAAAATATTTAATTTTCTATGATTTAATTGATTTATTAAAAAATATTAATTAACCATTTGATTAAATTTGTATTTTTCATAATTTTCCTAATTTCAAGTTCAAATAAAGCAAATTATTAATTAAAAAATTAACATTTATTAATTTTGTCACTAGAAGAACCCAAAATCTCATGAAAGTCAATCCCATGGTTGGGAATAGCACCAAGGATAGTTTCCAAGCTTCATAACCATCAGGGGATTTTTTAAATATATTTTTATAATTTTTTTCTAATTTTTTTATTATATATATTTATTTAAATAATTAAAGAAAATTTTAATTTCTTTCCAAGATTAATTCTTTATATTGCTTGGACTCTAGATTTTATTAAAAATTTTTAGAAGTTGATTTTACATTTTCTTTTGTCATTTAAACAAAAAAAATACAACCTTATAACTTGTTTATCATTACTAATAAGATAACACCCAAAACTTTATCATCACACATAAAAGTACCAACAGTACTTATCCTCTTAAAGTGAAATATATATTTTCAAGCACACACTTTGGAGAGATTATTACGTCCGTCGCCCGGACGCCGAGCTACGTCCCGGCGACGGTCATGATACAGCGGAGATCATGGTCTTTATGTCTCTCCCTACCTCCCTATCTCTCCTAGCACTCACTCTATCTTCTCTCTCCCCCTCTATCTATCATTGTCTCACTCTCCTTCTTTCCCTCTCTCTTTCTGTAGCTCTCTCTTGCTCTAGCTTGAGAAGGAGGGGGAGAGAGAAGATAGAGTGAGTGATAGGAGAGATAGGGAGGTAGGGAGAGCCATGATACAGTGGAGATCATGGCCGTCGCCCTGACGCAGCTCGGTGTCCGGGTGACGGACGCAATAATTTTTCCACACTTTGAGGCTGATTATACCACCAACGTACTATACATGTAAATATAAAAACTTTAGGGGTTAGATATGTAAATACATAAGAATTGTGTAAATTCCCCTAAAATTCACCCATTCTCGATACAGAAAAAAATTAGTTTAATCACATAAAAACAAAACTGTCAGCTCTAATTGCTTAATCAACTAAATAACAATTTTTGTTCTTTCCCTTAACCACATTAACCTGATATTTTAAACTATTAAAGCTGAATGAGCACAGCATAATTCAAAGTATTTATGGGAATCAAACAGAAGAAAGAAAAGGATGCCTAAAAAAACTAATTAAAATACAGTAAAAGAGCTCACCAGGAATCAGCCATCGCTGGTCAATGTGAATGCCAATAAAACACAGGCGAGACTGAAGGCCGTGGCAAATACTGCAAACACATATATCATCCACTGGGGGAACCCTCCCTGGTTTTGGCCGGCCAACTCCACTTCCTTCAAGAGCTCTCTTATCTCGTCGATGTCTGAGTCCTTCGCGGCATGGTTTAGTCTGCCTTGGAGTTCGTTGAGCTTAGCAAGCCGTCTGGACTTAGCAACGTCTTGGTTCGACCATATAAAGCCAGTCATCTTCCACAGAAGAATACCAACATAGATAGCAACAACAACGTCCACGCTGTAATGGTGTCGTTCACGTATCTCCCTCTGTGCGCTATGGAGGACAAGGAACCAGATCAAAGCAGACGTCCAACCTCCATATGCTTCCTGGAATAAGAAAAATGTAAAATAAATAATAATGGGTATATGGTTTAGCTGTTTGATGATAAGTCCACCAACTAAATGTTCGGTTGGCAAAGCATATGCCATATTGATATGTGGAACTAAACTAGTTTTGATGTTTTTAATAATCAACTTTTGATTATATTGGATGAGCTTTTGCGAGGAGGAGCTAGAGAAATGGGGACTTAATGGAGTATATATTAATTAGCTTGTTTCATTTTACATTTTATATTTGTATCAATAAGAGTTCGAAATTTTAATATGAATCAAATTGCTCTAAGCCAGAATTCTATTTTATTTTTTAATCCTTTCCCGATGTAATCATAATATTTATTTATAAACAACTAACAATGCGCAATTAAAGAAGCTTGCACTTATTGATGAAATATTATGTAATTCATGAAGTTTGTGGTCCACACCTTAGTATTTAGACCCCAAACTGATAAGTAAAACAACCGGTCCTTAACATGTCCTTTCAAACAATGATTATAACTACAGATATCTAGCTACTTCCCCGCACTTATATTACTATGTTTACAAATCTCAAAACATTGGTACATTTCAAACTTAACAATAAACTCTACATATTTCACAATCTTATAAATGATATTCTAAGAAAATACCTTTTAAATCCGCTGTTTTTTGGACTAGACCATCGAAAATTATTATGTATAAGGTAACTTGGATCTTGATAAGGGTTTTGAAATGTTGGAGACTGACTTAAAATTTGTGCCTAAACCTGAGTTAAACTTATTTGCAAATATTCTAGATAGTTTTGTTGAGTTTCTTTCGATTGCGCATGAAAAGGTGACATTCCTTCTTATTATTTTCTTTAGCAAAGAGTAGTTCCTATTCAGCTTTGTTACCGGCATAAAATTATGGATGTTTGGATTCTATTTAGTTACCACAACCACTACCACATAGCAACCTCACAATTTTCATTACATTGGCACAGCCACCATTACTTACCCTATTTGTCAAAGATTGTTAAAAAGACACAACTAAGACATTCATAAAACTTGTGCCATCATTTCAAAAATTTAATCGAAGAGTTTATAATGTTCCTGGTTTGTTAGTAGACATACACAAGTGAATGCCTCTGCCACCACAGACATCACCCTCAACTTTTTGAGAAAGACTTTTTGCAGCCCAAGTAAATTGTTGGAGCAGCATTATAAATTTGAAGCTAATTTTTTTAGTTTATGTTTTAATTTTCATCATGCTTTATACTTCCGCCCTTAGTTGTCATCATGTAAATGATTAAGACTAAAGCGTCATTTTCTTCATTTAGAATTTAAATCTCTTTTGAATATTTGCATGTCTTCCATTGACTTGCTCTCTTTTATATATATATTAAGAGACCAATCATAATATATAATAGAAAATAATGAATGAAAAGGCCTATTGAATCAAGCTCTTCAATCCTTAGGGTGGTAAGCTAGCTCTCCACTTCTAAGATCTGTGTCAAAGCTTTCTTTCATACCCTTAACCTTAGTCGGTGCCAACACTCTGCCCCAACCCTCCACGTGGTCTTTGACTCTTTCTACCACCTTTTCCTTGGGTATTCTGTGAATTTCTAAAGTTTAATTGTCGATTTCTACTTCCACTTTGATTCTACACTAGAAAACTTCATCACGTGTTGAAGTCAAATAGATCTACCCTAAAAAAACTGAGATATATTTTATCCTAAGTAGAGACCGCATGTCAACAAATGATGAAACCTTACAGGTAACAATAGAAAAAAAAGACTTCATCAGGACAATTCAAATGAACTTCCTTAATTTAGCCAGCTGCCAGAATTTAGTTAGTTGTGTTTATTCGTAACATGCAAAATACAAGTGGTTTGAAATCATAAATATCTAGCAAGAGGGCCACTAAATACAATAGATTCTAAGTTATTCGTAACATGCAAAATACAAGTGGTTTGAAATTATAAATATCTAGCAAGAGGGCCACTAAATACCATAGATTCTAAGCATTACAAAAAAAAAAGAAAATTTCGATTGAATAGAATCAAAATCCTTCAATTGAATGGAATCAACATCCACTTTGAACTAATAACTTCCATGAATGTCAATAACTAATCCCTTCACTAATCACAACAACTTCCAAAACCAACATCATGAATAAACTAGGACTGGGACACTCGCTAGATAATGTAGTAAACTTAATCAGCATCAATCTCACTTAGTAATCAAAATTCACATCAGTTTCAATGAAAAATTATTTCAATTTTCATTAATGTAGAATCCAAACTGAAACAATAAACAAAAAAACCACCAGTGTAAATCTTCTAGCTTGAAGAAAAAAGCATAAAAGAATTCATTGACCTTCCTAGATTCTGAGTAACAGACATATAACTATGAATGTAGTCTAACCCTCCTAGTTACGTAAAACATAAAATACCATGTCGTATTATTCCATTCTCCAAAAATTAAATAGCATAAAAATCAATATGAAAGATCAAGCAAACACATCCAATTACTAAAACAACACTAGTTTCAGGGATAGGGGCATACCATCCATGCCATAGCCGTCAACACCGCCACAAGCATGTGACCACTGTACATCAAGTCATTGCAACCACCACCAGCTTTCTTCAACAATTGGTACCATGTAGATCCCTCAGCGACAGTAGGTCTTAATATATCAATCAAAAAACTCATCTTTCCCCAGTCTGGCTGATATTCCACGGGATAATCCTTAACATTTGCTGAAAATATTATAAAAAATATATAAAGCTAAATTATTTTGAGCCATCAAGCATCATAAACCTAAATTTACGTTGTACATTACTCACCAAAATGATTATCACTTTGTATTAACCTGTGAATAGCATTAGAATCAGAAGCATATGGCACATAATATTTTTGAGCCCAAGGGTGTGGATGTGCTGGGATAGCAAATCTTGATGATGCACACCAAGGTCGAGCTGAAGGAAGAATTGTAGACACAAAGGTTATAGCTCGAAGAAGACGGCCAATAGCCATTGTGAACATGTACCTTGCAGCAAGTCCTAGACCTGGGGCCTTAATAGAGTTAAATAATACAGAGAATCCTAACATAATGAATAGCATTAGAAAATGATGCAGCCCAACAATGTGAGCTCGAAGTATATTGACCACCAATTTAGGAAGAGTCTCATTCAGTGATAATAGCAACCATTGGCCAGTATCAGGAAGAGGAGATGCTGATCTGACATAAAGAATGGATGACTATCAGCCTTCTACTGCAATTAAGTTATACATGAGGGAAAAGTATTATAAAAATTCTCATGGTCATGCCAATACATCAATGTTAGGTATCTTTATCCAGAAAACAGAAGTCCATATCAAAAGAAGCAGAAAAGCGTTAGCAAAGAACCTTGACTACTCCATGGGAGAAAAACGTTAAAGAATAGAGAAGAGATGAACATGACCGAGAACTACAGAAATGAAAGGAGATAGACAATAAACGATATGTAACTAAACAACAGGAGGAAGAAAATAAGAAGTAGAAGATGAGGAGGAACTTCAAGCAATACTTAACAGCAAAAAAAGTTCCTACTCTAAATAGTCATATCTATAGTTAATAAAATAAGATGAACTATCAAAATAAATCGAAGGAACAAAATAACATTGAATCTATTAACCACTAGATTCCTACCCAAGTCATGTCCTAATCATTTGCTTTTGTCTTTAATTATCTTCGTGACAATAAAAGCAGAAGACTTTCCCATTTTAAAAGATTGTGTCGGAGAACCTTATGAATCAACTATAAGCCAATCATTGATTATGTCCGTAAAATGTCACAAGCATGTAGTTAACACGGAAGAACCAATACCAGTGAAATTGACTGAGCATCCACACTTTCAGCAAATAGAAAATATTGGAGGGCAGAAAATGTCATGATAACACCAATAATTCACTCTAAAATTTATTTAGTAGTAATAATTGGTAAAAAATCATATATTCATATATACAAGAACTAGAACCTATCTTCAGCTCACTTGCCTGTAGTTACCTTTGAGGATTACTATGAATCCTTCATAGCGTACAAATGCAAGAGCAAAACAGCATTCAAGTCCTTGATTTCTATAGTAAGCAACAATAATGAGCATTATTTAATGCAAGTAGTTGTCTTATGTTATTTAATGAGCATCCACACCTTTAGCAGTAGAAATTATTAGAGGGCAGAAAAGGTCATAATAACACCAATAATTCACTCTAAAAATTATTTAATAGTAATAATTGGTAAAAAATCATATATTCGTATATAAAAGAACTAGAACCTATGTTCAGCTCAATGTGATGGGTCCACTTTCTCTTGCTTGTAGTTACCTTTGGTATACAAATGCAAGAGCATAACAGGATTCAAGTTCTTGATTTCTATAGTAATCAACACTAATGAGCATTATTTAGTGCAAATAGTTAAATAGTAATAATTGGTAAAAAATCATATATTCGTATGTACAAGAACTAGAACCTTTGTTCAGCTCAATGTGATGGGTCCACTTGCTCTTGCTTGTAGTTACCTTTGGTGTACAAATGCAAGAGCATAACAGCATTCAAGTTCTTGATTTCTATAGTAAGCAACACTAATGAGCATTATTTAGTGCAAGTAGTCGCTTATGTTATTTAATGAGCATCCACACCTTTAGCAGTAGAAATTATTAGAGGGCAGAAAAGGTCATAATAACACCAATAATTCACTCTAAAAATTATTTAATAGTAATAATTGGTAAAAAATCATATATTCGTATATAAAAGAACTAGAACCTATGTTCAGCTCAATGTGATGGGTCCACTTTCTCTTGCTTGTAGTTACCTTTGGTATACAAATGCAAGAGCATAACAGGATTCAAGTTCTTGATTTCTATAGTAATCAACACTAATGAGCATTATTTAGTGCAAATAGTTATCTTATGTTATTTCACAAAAAAATGAATGGAATGGAATAGATCAACGTCTCCATTAATATCAAAGTCAATGGAGAACAAGCAAAAAAAAAAAAAACTATACTGTGATACGAATTGTCAGAGTGCATGAAAGAAAAACAAACTGCAAGAAGAAGGCAAGATAATTATAATTAACCTTATTTAGCTAAAAAGTTCCTCTTGCACTATAGATAAGGCCAATTTGAATTGAAATGTTGGTTCAACAAAATATTTTTTTCTAAAACCAACACAAAACTAGAGCATAAGGAAATTACAAAGACTACAAAATATCTTAAAAATCAAACTAAATATCCAAACTTCTAGAATCACAGTCATGATCATTTATATTTTTATGCTCCTATGAGTTCCATAGTGATGCATTGTGTAGGACACACCATGAGCTCTTTCAAGTTGACACATGCCATGCAAGGTTAGTCTTCACAAGTAAACTTTACTTCCATAATGTTTGTACCTCCTTTAGGCAAAGAGATGCAAAATAAAAATATTATGTGGTTATGTGCATCTCTAAAGTGTAAAAGAATTCAACCATGAGTACTTACAGGCTAAGCCAAAATCATAGCATAGCACCCCTTGCCCAGCTTTGAGGCATTTATGAATAGAATTCTTGTCCATAGCTCAATTCAAACAGGTTAAATCTAAAACAGGAGAAATGTGTCCATTAAAAGTTCAATATGAATCAAACCACCTAATTTCAGATAGATCCAATAAGTGTCCAAATTTGTTTCGGGTTTTAAGTCATCCAGATGTTTTCAAAGTATGCTAAGCTTTCAGTATTGATACATCATTCAAATCGCCACTAACCATAAAAAAACATAATTTTAGCTCAGAAAGGGACTCAAGAGCAAACATAGAGAGTGGAAAATTCTCCAACAATTCAATAATTGAAGATGAAAATGCTTAACCTAGCAATCCTAAATCTTGTATCAAAATTTATAGCTTTTGTCTGTGATACAATACGTCAATATCTTTCCAAGCAGGATAACTCGTGCATTGAGAACGCTCTCTTTGCCCTCCAGCTTCTAGATTCAAAAGCAGTTGAGCAAAGAAGAAGAAAAAAAGTAAACAAATATGCCAATCAACCAAGTTCAATGAAACCTTCATTACATGTGCCAATCAAGGCCGAGCACGGCGGTTGAGAACCTAACGGAGAGGGCTTCAAAGAGAAAAGCGGAGAGCATGACGATAATGGAAGCGATAAAGGGAATTGCTGCACGGAGCTCCACCGTCCAATTGCGGTAGAACGGTACACGTGAAAAGGCGGCGAGGGCGAGCACGATCCAGAGGGCGGGCTGCAGACGCTGGTGCCATGAGGGGGACAAGTATCGGAGGTAGTCGATCGAGACGTAGGAGATCGCTGCTAGGCCGAGACCCCCCTTTGCTGTCAGCAGGCTCCGTGAAGAGCGAGCGCCACTGTCATTCCTCCCCATCGGCATT